ATTATGGTCTTTCTTTATTTTTAAACCTCTGAAAACAGACTTTGTTCTTTTGGCCTGTAGGTCTGCACTGTCTGCTAACTTACCACTTTTTAAACAAGTTTGACCCCTTTCTCTGAAACATATAAATCTCTGTCAACAAAGAGAAGCAAGGAAGGTAACTAGTTTATTTGGAAATGTCTAAGGTTAATGAGTTTGATTAATAGAAGTACCTGATGATATAATGAACCATTCAGTTACTGAAGCCTCAAAGGGCCAATGTGTGAGATATTCACTGCATTAAATGATAAAGGTATCTTACTATCTGATCAGACATTTAGGAAACATGCTATGTTGAAGTGCTGACTTCTCTGACAACAATGCAGCAGCCAGTGTATCCTCACAAATTTAGTTAGGTTTTTTTGCCCTGCAGGATATATAGCTTTTTAAAACAATAAATTATTAATTAAAAAAATGATGCTCTCAATATTGATCAAAATAATTGTGATTATCAGTTTGGCCAAAATCATATTAGCCCTAACAGGCAGGTGTCAAACACAGACTGTTAGCTTGCTTGATGTGATATTGTCAGGTAGCTTGCAGTAAATGTACAGGTTAAGCCTGCAGTGTGTGTGCGCTTCTGAAGTGATGAGTTCAGGAGCCCTGTTTGGATGTTGTGTTTTTAAGCTGCTACGACCTTTGCTACTGACTCTACCTTTAAGCAATGGATCCAGAACAGAGAGGCCTCCTGAGCCGAAATCAGGCAAATTGAGATTACATGGCCACCAGTGAAATAGATGACAGAAACCCCAATTTGATTGTATTTGTTTTTAGCACTGGAAGTGCCATGTCACCTTCAGGTGACCACAGGAATGGCTGACATTTGGTGGCTCCAGCTGGCAGGAGTTCATGGTGATCAGTGGCCATGGCACTTCAGTATTAGATACTGAGGGACAATTAATGTAGACATACTTTGTGTTTTAATTTCAGAGGGCACTGCCTCATTATTGACATTAGTTTTTTAAGAGACTTTTAGATGTTGTGGCCTTAACACTACCAGTAGAGTGAAGGAAGCTGATGTTTGTCATTGCTTACCTTGTTAAACCATATCCATTGAACCAGACTGCTAAACCACAGCAGGTAAATTAATCCATCTGAAAATCCTCTTGGCGTTTTGTTTTCTTACCGTCCACCTGTCACCTGGCTACTAGGTTTGTTTGTTTTTTCTTTTCCTCCAAAGAAGCTCTTCATGACAGGAGCTCCTGGTATGATGAGGCTCTAATAACTCCAACCAGATGCTGTAGGAAACACGGCTCACTCTGACATATTGCAACTTCTGCACTAATGACGATGTGTTGTAGCCACTCTCACATTTGAAGGCACAGCTGGTTTTAAATGTGGGCAGTTTGCTCCTGCTACATTCAAACAGCCTCCAGGTTTTAGCTCTTTACTTGAAGAAAAAAAAGTTGCGCTTGCTCGAAGGGTCTGTTTATTGTGACTTATTTTGCTAGTTCCAAAAAAACCCTCTGAATGGCAGTTTATATTTGTTTATTTACCTCTTTTTAAGCTTTGGCAGTAAAACAAGTTCATAGTAAGCTGGTGTGTGATGGGGGTGATGATGACTCGGTCGTAAAACACCTCCCCGTAGCCGTCCTCCTTGTGAACAATCCGTCTCTTAATCACCATCATCACATTATCCCTGCCCAGTAACGTCGCTGCCTGGCAATGGTAACCCTTGGAAACCATGAAAGAGAAAGACCACAACCCCCTCTGTCACCTCCTTGGATATCTATCGCTGTCTCTTGGTGGCCATTTTATGAGCATCCTTCTCTTCTCCTCTCACCCTACCTACTCTCCTCCATTTCATTGACACCAGGAGGACTCACTACAGCACACGTGTGAACTTAAGTTTGCTGAATATACAGTTTCTTCCACATGATGTCCATACCTGGCCTTTCTTAAAAGCTGAATAATTAAAAGATGTAAGCACTTAGATTCAAGTTTGGTTTGGCTTATTAATAGTATTATATATAAAATAATTTACAGTCATCTAAATATTTGAGTACTTGCATTACTTAATGGTACTTGCTGGTTATATTTTTTGATATTTTATATTTTTTATTTAAAAAAAGTTAGACACACACTTTCTAGTAGTCCTCCTCGTAATATTTTCAGCGGTGTTTCTCCTTCCACCAAACTAAAAAGCAGGGTTGATCATTTTCAAAAACTAGCATGATTTTGAAAGTAGCATTCCCTCAGTGCTCTGTCTGCACCCCTCCCCTCTGTGCTCCCTCTAAAGCCACGCCCCCTCACTTACATGCTCTCTGAGTGTGGGCTCGTGCATGAAAGGTGTAGAGAACTATCAGGGAGACAGGGAGGTGTGTGATTGGTTCATCAGATTGGTACCTCATGGCAGACATTGGTCAAAGTTTTTACAGACTTACAAACTGATACAGATGATGGATTTTCTTTGTTCCTTTTTCAGAGAACATGAGTTATTAATTTCTGTCAGGACCTAAAGACAGTTTCAACCAGAATCATAAAAAGTGTTTCTGGAGGAAATTAACAATCCTGCCTTTAATGGGAGCATTTCTCAAGTCACTGTTAATTAGTTCTAGTGATGTGAAAAGCAGTTCTTTTCAGTGTACTGAATCAGTAGAATCAGTTCAGTAAAGTGATTCGTTCACCGAATCGTTCAGTACTTCTCCACAGCTCTGCCTGTGAATCAGAATTTAATAAGCTGAAATACGGCCGAACGTTTAGTTCTGCTCATGATTGTACTGAGAACAGCCGGTGGTGAATAACAAGCCAATGAGCTGAGAATTTAGTTGGATAAAGCTACAGTTTGTAAACTGAAAGCTGCTAAAACAATCACATTTATTTTCCCCGACCGTTCTGTTTAGTACGTTCAGTACACAAATCACTCACTGACTGACTGACTGAGAGGAAGAGAGTGACTCGGAGCTCCCGTTCAGTGAACGAATCATTCACTGAGCATCAGTCAGTCAATGATTCGTACACTGAACGACGTACTAGTACAATGAACAAGAACCCTGGCTCTCAATTCTCTCGAAGTCGAGGAAGCACGGCACTCAACATTTTAATAACAATTAGGCTGGGTGTCGCGAAAATGTATATGCCTGTTAAAGCAGCTTTCAGTTTGCAAACATTATCGTGAATGACAATTAATTTGACTTACTATAGGCTACGTGTCAGCAGGAAATATGCATGGCAACAAATATATCCTATGCCAGAACAGTTATATTTTAAATTATATAAGCAGGGCAAAAAAATGATTTAAAAAATAATGGGTTTAGGTTACTTTATGAGTCTCTCTCTTCCTCTCAGTCAGTGATTCGTTCACTGAACGTACTGAACGGGAGCTCCGAGTCTCTCTCTTCCTCTCAGTCAGTCAGTGAGTGATTCGTGTCGGAGCTCCCGTTCAGTACGTTCAGTGAACGAATCACTGACTGAACGTGAACGTGGGAGACTGCGAGTCACCAGCCTCAGTCACACACACACACACACACTGTACTGACTGAAACATGATCGAATTGAGACCATTGTTAGTGGATGTTAAAACAGTCAGCTGAGTGAAATTAAGTTGGATATAAAAGCCGTTTCTATGATGCAAGTTTAACACAACTTCTATTGCACTGCAGGTTATTCTTCTTCATTTGTTTGGTTTTTGAGATTTGCTCTCACCTCCGGAGTCATGTGTCCCCAAAGAGTTACTGCTGCCGTAAAGCAAAGGCAAACTCTGAGTTAATGGTCTATTAGCTACAGACTACGGTCATTTAGAATGAGGTACTATTAGGGCTAGATGATATGGACCAAAACTCACATCTTGATATTGTTTAGCTGAATGGCGATACTCAATATATATCGATATGTATTTTATTAACAGTGAAACACATGGAAAATAAACTACCTGTTTGTGAATTTAAAAAGTAATATTCTAAAATAAAAATGTTCCTTAAATACAATAAAAGAGAGAGAGAGGAGGAGCAGGGTTAAGAGGGACAGACAGTCAGTCATCATCATCAGTGAGATGAGGAAAAGGTGACCTGGCACCTCTGTAACGTTATTTTAATGAAACTCAAACTATATCCATATTAACCATATTGTCTTACCCAATATCTTGTTTGCAAATATATCGATATATCTTAAAAACTCGATATATCGTCCAGCCCTAGTACTAATAAGCTCTTAATAATGACTGATAAGCAGCCAGTAGCCGACTAGTTAGCATGCGAATAAGCAACAAGTTAATGGTGAATAATGTGACCTTCATTTGAAGTGTTACTGTAAAGTTTGTTTTGAATAACTCTCTAACTTGTTATATACGTCGAGACATTTCAGTCAAATTATTATTAATTGTAATTTTTTTACTTGAATCCCTTTTATTGAGCAGATTCACCAGTGTCACAAGCGTCACACATACAAAGAAGCCAGCTGGTCAGTTAGCGTGCTAACAGTTGGCTCAGGTTAATTGGGCCGACTGAAGCCAGGCTGGGAGAAAGAGTGTGTAAGCTCCCTGCTGGGGTTGATGAACTACATCATTACAATATTACCATTGCATGAATTATTGTTAATCATTTGTTTCTTCCTGCAGAGTGTTGTTACCTACATAGAGCATGTTTTTTTCTCTCTGCCATGGGTAGAAGGTCAGAGCTTGGATAATAACTCAGCCCAGGTGACACTTTTTAAAAATAAAACCAGAGTCTAAAATGATTCTAAACATGGAGTCCATTCTACATTTAAAGACTTCTAATGACTCAAAGCACTACATCGCACACTCACCCCTTCAAACATACAATCTTACTGTGATGGCGTGGAGTGTAATGCAACAAGCCAACCTTTTTTGGTGGGTCATTCTGGGTCCATGGTTTTGCAAAAGGAGGCCTTCGACATGCTAATTTAAGGATCCAGAGATTAAATCATCTTATCAGAACATCTCTGTTTTACTCTGTATTTATTGTTCCAACAGTCTTTAATGTTGTGTGTGTTTTTTTGTTTTTCAGGTGTGGGGAAGTCATGTCTATTACTACAGTTCACAGACAAGAGGTTTCAGCCAGTCCATGACCTCACTATTGGTAAGGACACGTAAGGTCTACACAGTCAGATGTTTTGTACCATTATTACTCCGCTGCCTCCAAACCATACTGTCTTTGATCGGGCATGCTGCATTGGATGTGCAATTTGTTTGTAACATTTTTGTGCTTTTTGTGCTTTTAATGGAGAGATTGGCCACCCGCTTGAGACGACTGCCTCCATACATGGGGCGCGCACACTAACCACTGCGCCACCAGTGCCCCGTTTTTAACATTTCTAAAGAGAGAAAGAATAAAAAATAGTTTCAATTTGTCAAAATAACTACCATAAAATCCAGTGTATAAGCGCGCACTCACACTAGGCAAAACGTACCATCCCAAAGTCCGTTTGACCAGTGTCAGTCCTCCGATCTGTGCACTTACTCCGTTACACTTCCTTGGCCCTGGCCTGCTTCTGCACGGTTCAGTTCATGAACGAGCACGAGCACAGGTACACAACGTGGACAGAGTTATCAAGGGAGAGACTGTTGTGTCTGTATCTGAGCAAAATGGCTCAAAATAATGCACAAAGTCAGTGAAGTTGCTGTCTTGGTCTCTGTGTTGTTCTCCAGTGTGTTGACGCAGACTCCAGTGTGCATATTTTTTAATCCGCCTGTCTTGTAAACTCAGAAGGCTTCATGATCACGTGAAGCCTTGTCCGGATTTACAGTAGTTCTATTTAAAGGCTTTATGTGATTTTTTTTTTTTTTTTTTTGATCCAGCAGAGTCTCCATTCAGCACCAGCATGAAACCAAAACAACTCCTGTTGCATTGTTGTGTTAGCATGCTAATGCTAGTGATCTTTATTATGCTGGTATCTTCACACTGCATGTAAATTTACCTGAAATGAGCGTGATCTAGAAACACAGTTAAGCAGTGAGTACAGTATGTTATTCTTCTTTTCTCTAGTCCCTCAATTAAACAACTTTTATACACGAGGGGAGGAGTCAGCCGGCCGTCTGGGCGATGTAAACAAACTGAAGATAGGACTCTGAAAACATCACAGACAGTGGGACTCGGGTGTTACACCCATTGTAGACAGTCATGACTCACAGAGTTATTTTCAGAGGATATACTTGATTTCTATTACATTTAAGTGTGAAAAATCACATATAAAGCCTTTAAGGCGACATCTGATCAGGAACATTAAAACATCTGTTGAAAGATTTTCATCGATATAAATCTTTCTTGACTTTTATTCTTCATTTTAATTGTGGTATTTTTTTTTTAACAAACCTGTTTGATTCTCCATGGCGTCGTCTCTTCCTCTTCAACACATCTGTATGTGTTATTGATAAATGAGCCTTAAATTGTGGGCTCTGTACAGCAACCACAGACCACACCTGCTTAAACACACACACTAGAGGGTGTGCTCTTTCTCATGTGACAGCATCGAGCATCAATCCCACTTCTGTCTTCTGTGCACATGTTTTTAAAACATATACAGGCTTACAGTAACAAATGTTTTGTACAGAAATTCTACAGATGTCTTTGAGTTATTTAAAGGTTCCCTTCACACCTTTTCCATCTGCTGCGTACTCTTTGAATGAACTTCATTCATGCAGGCTTGTTGTTGAACTGTGATGAATGTCTGGACACCTTTTAATAAAGGTTTCATTAACAACATTCACACACACAAAACAATGCAGCCTTTAGCACAAACTCAGAGACAGTGTCAGGAAAAGAAAAACTTCCCGTGGTCATCTGACTCAAAGTGTCGGTTGAGATGGAGAGACCGGATAGCAAACATACAACAATATAATGTACACATAGGTATTTAAGGTTTTAAAAGTAACAGTTTCCAGGTTGCTGTTGGAAACCATTTTAGGAGACCGGCCACCAGTTCTCTACGGAGGCAAACACATTAAAACAAATAAAACCAGAGAGCAAAATGTGAAACCAGAATGTTTTATAATATTTATTTGCAGCAGTCAGGGTTAAATTGGTGAATAAGCAATTATCACTGACTTGTGGGATTGTTTTTATAGACACTTAAATGTAAATATTTGCTTTACTGGTGTGTTCAATGAGTTCACAGTCATTTGAGCATCCAGCATGGACTGAAGTTGCTAACACAATAATAATGAAGAAGTTGAATCGGAGCTCTTTATGATTCAGTAAATCTCATTTGGATTCTGTGTGTTTTTGTGTGTGTGTGAGCAGGTGTGGAGTTCGGAGCGAGGATGATCACTATAGATGGCAAACAGATCAAACTGCAGATCTGGGACACGGTAATACATCCATCATTTCTTCTTTTAAATGGAGCTGTATGTTTCAGAAAAGGGTTAAGATATAATCTGAAATGATTTATTTATTACATCAGATAAGAGAAGATTATTTATCAGATTAGATTTCATTGACTGTATTCATCTTCATGTGTTAACATAGGGTCAAAGTAAGTTAAGGTAACCACAGACTCTGGTTACCTTTACTGTAAATCAGTGTGGTTCTTGTGATGAAAGATTCAACAGAAAACTCAAAGTACTTGGTCTTTTTCGATTCTCTTATTGATTTTTTTTTGATTTTTTTTTGATTTTCAAAATCCAAAACAAAAAACGGCAACAAGAATTTACATTTTTAGACACTTGAAATCCATGATTACCCCTTTACCTTTTCTGAAGATGATTTCATTTTTAATATAGATGGAAATGGAAATAACAGGAGCAACATGTACTATTTCATACTGAAACATTTAGAAGTGACACAAAATACAGCAACCAGTATTCCCAGGATAAAGTGCAATAAAAAAGGAGACGAGACATTTTAGGAGAGAGGTAAACAAACCACGCCACAGTAAAATCTGTGCTTACAGTAATGTGTGATGTGAAATCATAAACAAGGACTGAAGGTTGAACTGATCAGGTAGATGTGGATGATTCCACATGCCCACAATAACTCAGCTACAAGACCTAATTCATGAATCAGGTATATGAATAAAGTGAATCAGGTATTCTAAATTATGAGTTCAGAGTATTATGTAAACAAAGATCCATTTTGATCTGTTTTGGTTAATTGAGTTTTCGGCGTCAACCTTCTTCACAAACGTTCCTGTCAACTTCCTAATGTTGTCGGGGTGAGTGCCATGTGCCAGAATTGATCCTGCCAGCTCCTTGTAAACTTTCCAAATGAAGTCGGTTTGAGTGGATATGTAAACATTTGAGTTTGGGGAAAAAAATCGATTTACGTAAAAATCAAGATTCTTCTCTTCTAAGATTTCAAATCAATTCATAACTTCCCAAAAAAACTTTTTTTTTACCTTTTTTTTTTTTTTTTTTTTGCTAATCAGTCACTCCCTGCTAAGTGCTAATGCTAGCTCTTTAACTCAGTAGAATGCCAAATAGAGCAACAAGAAATTCAGCCAGTCTCACAGAAGACTGGAGTAGATCCTGAAGTACTAATTCAAAAATAGACTTTGAATCCAGAATCATTTTGAATCGAATCGAAATAGAACCGTGAGACACCCAAAGATCTCCAGCCTTAGTAAACATACCAGGTTTTATATTCAGGAAAATTCACTGAGAGGGAGTTTCAGGGGTTGAGAACGATTATATCCTGTAACTGTCCGGAGGTACCGTTAATGTCGGTAAGTCCCTCTCTTTCTGCTGCAACCTGTCAACCAGGATAGTGGCAAAAATAATGTGTATCATCCAAATCTGACAGGGTGGATACTTTTTATCTTAAAAAAATAGGTGATGGGCAAAGTGTCAGACTGGAGGTTTCAGTTCTGCTGATCTTTAACAATAACAACCAGCTGACTCTGACAGCCAGTAAGCGCAAAATCAGCAACAACTGCACTGTTGTAGTGCAGTTGCAGAAAACTGCTGTTTTCAAATGTTTTACAACAGTACAATACCAGACAATAAATGATTATAGAACAATACCCAAAGACAAAAAAAACAACAACAGACCTGACAAACAAAAATTATAATGAAGTTAAATTAAATACGGGAATAAAGCAGTACGATTAAAATGTATGTAAATAAATACAAGTATAAAAAATAAAAATTCCACAAGCACATGATTATTTCAGATTAAGCTGCATGGAAGTGTTAAGTTTTCCACCTTTTACAGAAAACTGTGTTTCGAGGTGTTCAGTTTGTCAGACATGGGGCGCAGTTGCTTCTTACTTGTGGATGTAAATGCAGCAGACTTCTGTGTGGGATCTACAGAGAAAGGAAGTGACTTTCTCAGCAATGTTCAGCTGTAGGTTTCCCCTTACATGCAGTTAACAAAATTGACCAGCAGATGGCGTAAGCACATCATGGAAAAAAACCATCGACAGGAAACGGACCACAACAATGATGTCAATCCTTTTTAAAACCCAGACTGCTGCAGGTTTTCATTCCCAGCTTGATCATTTTATTTCACCTGGTTGTTTTGGTGATCTCGTCTCTGACAGATGAAAACTATCAAAACCTGCCGTGCTCAATGAAACATTTGTACTTGTAGAAAATGGCAGAATAACTAAATGGCTGGAGACACTTGGATCATTGTGTGGGCTGCACATGTCATATGAATAGGAGTGTGTGCATTTGTGTGTGTTTCTGCATGCAAGCACAGGCCAGATGGCAGACAGAAACAGTGTTCCCTCTCTTTCAACCTTTTTTATCATTTATTCACTAATGGCATTACTGACTTGTTGACTGCTCTCTGCATGAGCAGCCACCAGAACAGATGACTGTTCTGGTGGCTGCTCTGTCTGGTATGACCGTTTGACTGGTTCTTCAGCTGACTGACTGTCAGGATGGCTTTCAAGCAGACAACACTAACTTTATGACTGGCTGGTTCTCTGACTTTGTGAATGACTGCTTCACAGACTGGGTTCCATTGGTGAAAAAGTGGTCCGCTGGTCTTCTGACTTTCTCAATGATTCACTGGCTGACTGTCTGGTTTTTAAGATGAGGTCAGAGCAGTGCACGGCTGCAGCTGCTAGGATGGCGGGCTGTTTTTTTTTTTTCTGCTCCGGCCTTGATGAAACACAGACAACATTGTTACTGTACATCAGACAGAGTCGGACATTGAATAGACATGGTGGGGGGGGGGGCTAGATGGTGAAAGATGTGATGGAAGGGGGTGTCCAGGGATCCATAGAGAAAGAAGAGGAGGTGACACGGTGACATCACCGGAAGGGGGAGAGAATGTACAAGGTGACCTAGTGGGCTAAACTGCTTCGGTGCATCTTTACTACAAACACATCATCTTGCACACTGTACATATTTATATGTAATATTTTATATATTTGTATATTTAATTTAACTTGTTTCTCCTGACAGGAGGAGTTCTGCTTCAACTTGCTTTCAGTGTCATATTCTCTTTCTTATTTTGCACCATAACAGAATTATTTTGTGTATGAAACTACTTAGCAAAAAATATATTTTTTAAAATCCGATTCCGCTTGTGGGCATATACGAGAATGCTTAGAAGACAAATAATGACTGAGAAGGAAACGCAGGTTTTATTGGGATGATATCACAGTTTATGTGACCTTCCTTGTTCCTCATAAATCATGGATCTGGGAGGTTTGACGCACAGACAGAGAGAAAGAAAGGGATTGTGACAGACAGATGGAGAAAGAAAGAGAGAACTCCATTGTATCCTGTTACAGACTTTGCTCTGTCCTTTACCCGAGCAGTCTAAAAAATCAGGAGCCAGACTGTGCTTGAGAATCAGGACTGTTAAGCTCAGGAGTAGACCCAATGCACAGGGCTCGTAGATTAAAAAAAGACTGGTGGAAGGATGACTTCTTAGACTTCTTATCAAAGCTATTAGAAAACAAAGTGGCCATTTCAAAGTCTAGAATTGAATGAGTGTTTGTTTGTGTTTTAACCAGGCTGGTCAGGAGTCGTTCCGGTCCATCACCAGGTCTTACTACAGAGGGGCAGCAGGAGCCCTGCTGGTGTATGATATCACAAGGTAACGAGACCACCACTCTGCACATCCACCCTCCAGTTTTGTTTTTTGTTTGTTTCATTTGTTTTGTTTTGAAATAAATTTTTGGAACACATTTTGTTCTGATATGTTTTGTTTTTTTTGTAACCAAACTAGTAGTGTCTTAGATAATAAGATTTGTAACAAGGGTAGGTGTAATAAGCTAAAGCTTCAGCCTACACCTTTTCAGTCAAAATGTTTTTGTTTTTTTTCTTGTGACCGAAACAAATGATTACTACTACTACTACTACAATATGTAGCACACATTTGGTAGGTTAGGATGATGTTCTGAAGGTTTTAGTGATTCAAACTTGGCAGGACAAAAGACAGAATTCAGTTTTGTAGTTCATGGATATTTCCAGACATTAAGATAACCTTCAGCGTTCAACAGAGGGGAGCGTACTTTAGTAGTAGTTACCACTTGAATTGAATCAAGCTTGTGAATCTTTTTTAATTTACTGACGAAACAATCCGTCAGCTGAGAAAGTTCAGCGTTTGTGTGATGTTTGCAGGAGTAAAAAAAGCTTAGGTCAAATCTGACGCTTTGTGAAAGGTGAATGTGAGATGAGTTGTAAATAAATTTGTGTGCTGTAAACTCTTTGGATTATAGGGGGGAACAGGTTGCGTCTGCTTCACATATGGGAAACCAGACTGACTCTTGATTGTGTGCTTGCTTTAACAGAAGGGACACCTTCAACCACTTGACGACCTGGTTAGAGGACGCTCGCCAACATTCCAACTCCAATATGGTCATCATGCTCATCGGCAACAAGAGGCAAGATCCTTTCTGCTACAAGATGCATTGCACCATGATGGTTACATCCTGTCTTACATAAGTATACAGCGTCAACAGTGTGTGGCCACCGCTTTAGAAGTTCTGTGCAGTAAACACTACGATGTGGTTTATATTTGTCCATGTTGGCTGGGATTTGATGTTGGCTGGTCCATTGCAGCCTGTGATCAAAGTGAAACAAGTTAATTATTCACTCAAAGTTTTATGGGATTTAAAAGGAAGTAAATCTGATCGACATCAGCCAAAAGCCGTGTTGTAGTTATCCACAGTACTGTCGACTCCCTCTGTGCCTGGGTGACATAACAAACAGACATGCAGTCAACTTAGACCTACTAATTACCCCCGTCATTTTCATTTCATGTTTTTATTCGTTCCGTACATGTCAGAACACACAACAGAAAAAAAAAAGGATTTTCACACTTTATCCCATGTACGGAAAGGAGCAGGGAGAAGAATACATCTTGTTTTGCCTGCCCTTTACTCAAAAAGCAAACAATAAATATCTGGATGGTCTGTCCAAATTACAATCACTGAATGAATATCATGCCAACATAAAACAAATCTGACAATTCAGTCTTCACTTCCTCAGAAATAAGAAGTAAAACACACTAAAACTGCCAATTTCATACAGTCTGATAACTTTGTTCTTATACATTTTCTTAAACTGAAATATCTGAACACAACCCTTCAAATCATTATTTAAAGAATTCCACAATTTAATTCCAATTACAGAAATACACTTATGTTTTAAAGTTGTCCTTGCAAACTGATGCTTAAAATTACATTTTCTTCTGTGCTCTTCATCTTCTGAGCAAAAAACAGATTTAAAGAGGAAGTTTTTCTGTTTATGACAGAAGCTCATACGGTGCACAGGGTTACATGACAGCATTGTGTAAAAAGAAATAGAAGTTAAGTAGAAAAGCAATTTTACATACGATTACAAACCCCTTCAGATGAATTCAACTCAGTGTAGAAAACTATCAATCATCCTGCATGACCTTGCATACTTATCAGTGTTGTATAAGTATGAGAGTTGTACTTCTCTTGAGAGTTGAAGGAAATTTTAATCAATAAAAACATTTTAGAAGGAGCTGTTTCCAGGCTAGCTGCAGGACAGTGCTAATCTTAAATCAAAAAGGTGGAATCTGAGTCCTCTGAAGCAGTTTGTTGTCAGAGATGTGTAAAACCAAAGCTTCAACCTTCCACTGTTGAAAAATGAAGCTAATGCAGAAGTGCAAAAAGAACTGTAGTTCCTGGAGGGACCACTTGAGGCTGGCTGTAAAAGCCAAGGAATCCTAGCAGAAATAAAGATGGCTGCAGCCTGGTCTGAATAGCTCATGTCTTTATTGGTTCAGAGTTATAGTTTTTCTAAATAGATCAAAAATTAGCATGAGATAGCGTTCCCAACATCGGGAACTGCCATCTTGGCTTCATAATGCCTCTTCAGACGTCCATGTTTTATACAGTTTATGGTGAAATTTAACCAAAACTTAGAGAGCTTTTTTTCATACATTAGATATAATAGGTTACTTGATTAGGAATTTTGTGACCTCAACTTGAGTTAGCTTCTTCCAAAGCTGGAGTAAAATCACTGCTGCACACACAGGGAGGATCAATATTGTTGTTTTCCAACTTTCTTCTTCGGCTGAACAGTTCGTTGTTGTCCTTGTCAGTAATTGGTGTGTGTTTGTGTCTTTTTAGTGACCTGGAGTCGAGGAGAGAGGTGAAGAAAGAAGAAGGAGAAGCATTTGCCCGAGAACACGGCCTCATATTCATGGAGACCTCAGCCAAGACTGCCTCTAATGTAGAGGAGGTAATGAGACACACACACACACACACACACACACACACACACACACACACACACACACACACACACACACACACACACACACACACACAGACAGTACAGCACATAGAGCTGCACAAACATAAAATTTAACCTTGAAACCTTAAATCTGGATACACATTTCATAGTGATCAGATGTTTGGCATATGTAGAATAAAAATAGTTACACACTACTTGTAGGTCAGTGTTTCCTTTGATGTGTAGTAAATGAAAATGGATTATAGCTATGTAGCACTTTCCTAGTTGTGTGACCACTCAAAGCTCTTCTACACTACATTTCAAAGACACATAATTTACACACACGTTAATACACTGATGGCTAAAGCTGCTTTGTGAAGTTCAGATCTGCCCGACGGGATCTAATGAAGCCAAAGTCACAAACATTCACATGCTGATTCAGTGTGTTACCAGAGGAAACATTGACATGTAATCTGCAGGAGCAGGGGATTGAATTGCTAACCGGTTGTAAGACGACCTGCTCTACCGCTGAGCCACAGCCGACTTTAGTAACGTTAAACTTACTGTCACTAAATGTCCTGCTCCATTAGTTTTGGAGGCAGACAGATCGTGTCCACTGCCCAACTGGCTTTAAAAGTGCATTAAAGTGTGACATTATTTATTAAATATGGTCATATAATGTAGAGTATAAACTTTACAAGGTATACGTCCTAATGGGATCCTCTCAGTCTTGTGACAAGCCCTTAAGGTTTTTAGCTTTGGAGTCGGTTGTCTCTTAACCAAGGGGTTAAGAGGGTTCGATCCCAGCTCCTGCAGTCACATGTTGAAGTGTCGTTGTGCAAGATGGCGGCCGGTGGTGTGTGAATGTTTTTGAATTGATTAGTTGTTACTGAAGGACACAATACATAGCAGCCTGTGCAGTCAGTGTATGCATGGCGAGGTGTGACCTTGAAAAGCGCTCAACAAGCTTAAGTCCATTTACCTGAAATGTCAATTTATCAAAGATAGCAATAAGCAAACTATGCTGCCTCACTAAAATAAGTAAGTGACCATAATGAACATCAAGTAACCTTTGGAGTGTTCACATACAGTAGGTATGTTTGTTTAAAAAAACATAAATATAACAGCCTTAAAAAGAACACTTTCAATCTTTAGGGAATTTGACTCAATTTGAAAAACTTCTTCAGATTGAACTGAAGTAGTATTTACCCTTATCTTAACTTTAACCCTTACCTTAATATAAGATTGAACTCTATTGCCCTTTATGTTGTAAACATTAAATGACCACATAATGTACCTATTTATTTAGTAGTACCTGTTTGGTCCACTGTTTTCACCCTGTGTTTAAAATACAGCGATATAAAAAAAAAAAGTGACAAAGTCAAAACAAGTCCAATGAATCTACACACTTGAAAGCAAAGATCCTGTTTGTGGGTTTTCTGTAGCACCTTGGATCTCCATGCCTGCTAGCTTCACATTAGCATCATGTAGCACAGTTAGCACATGACGCAGCCCCTCGTGAGGACACACCCCTGGTGTTGTTGAGTGTAATAAATGCATGGCGTTGTCCTAGGGGACTCCGTTCTCACTTATCCAATCACATAAATAATCCCACCCTACTCTGCACAGCATGCCAGCCAGGGACACCACAGAGAGTGTGTACTGTGTGTGTGTGTGTGTGTTTGTTTACATTGATTTTTTTTCTACCCTCTTTAGCCCAGCCTATATCATGCAAGCACACACCCACACCACTGTCGAGTGGAGCTCTCTCTAGGGTTAAGATGATGGGGGAGGTGTGTGTGTGTGTGTGTGTGTGTGTGTGTGTGTGTGTGTGTGTGTGTGTGTGTGTGTGTGTGTGTGTGTGTGTGTGTGTGTGTGTGTGTGTGTGTGTGTGTGTGTGTGTGTGTGTGTGTGTGTGTGTGTGTGTGTGTGTGTGTGTGTGTGTGTGTGTGTGTGTGTGTGTGTGTGTGTGTGTGTGTGTGTGTGTGTGTGTGTGTGTGTGTGTGTGTGTGTGTGTGTGTGTGTGTGTGTGTGTGTGTGTGTGTGTGTGTGTGTGTGTGTGTGTGTGTGTGTGTGTGTGTGTGTGTGTGTGTGTGTGTGTGTGTGTGTGTGTGTGTGTGTGTGTGTGTGTGTGTGTGTGTGTGTGTGTGTGTGTGTGTGTGTGTGTGTGTGTGTGTGTGTGTGTGTGTGTGTGTGTGGTATGATTAATTTGTCTCATTAGTGTCCTCTGAATCCTCCTGATACCGCTCCTCTCCCCCCGTCCCTTCATCTCGCCTCGCTCCATCCCTCATCATCCCTCGACGTCCATCATTTGCTCTTTACCATCCTCCCATCTTCCTTCACCTCCCCCGCTCCCGCTTTCCATTCATTTCTTCACCTCCCTCCCCCTCCCCTCCCCTACACCCCCTCCCTCTTCTCTCTCATCTCCCCTCTCTCTCCTCAGCAGTATATCAACCAGTTATAGTTCATGCATATTCATAACCTCCACCCTGCCTCCCCTCGGCGACATCCAGCAGCCAATCAGTGCACTGGGTTTGTCGTCAGGGTCTGTGGGTGGACACCGGGTTGATGGGAGGGTCCTCAGAGAGAGAGAGAGAGAGTTCCTCATTGCTTCATTCTCTTCTCTCCTTACATCCTTCCTGCTTTTACATCCGTTTCTCAGCTTCCACATGTTTATAATTACGTCTTCTTTCCGTCCCTCTGATATCATGATATTTTATAAATACTGTTTATATAAAAAAAAATTATTATAATCTTTAACTTGTTCTTATCTCATCGCAGTTTTTTCTGCATTTCAACTCCGCACTCCTCTCATCTCTTGAGTCTTTCCCTACATCTCTGCATTTTTACGCTTTCTCTTGTCTTTGCTGCACATTCTCCATGATTCACTGCTCTGTTGGTTTCCTCATTTTATGTTATTACAATCAATATGTGCACATCTAAACTTTACGAGGACACTCAAAGTGTAGAGAGAGGTGAAGGAACGAGGGATGTGTTGAAGAAGAGAAAGAGGACAGGAGTGAACAAAATGGAGTGAACTGGAGAGCACCCCTGGGCTTTTTCAGACTATTTCAGGCTGGATGTCAGAGAAGTTCAGGACATATTTTCAGTTCTTTAACACCTCTGCTTTCAGGCTTTCGTTTTGCTTTTGGCCCCACAGTAAGTTTTGTGTTGAGACGTTGAGCAACTACAGACGTTTTCTGCTGACGATTTTTTAATGAGAATATTCACTTTTATATCAATGCGACTTGTAGTTTAACAGAATCACAACATCAACAGAAGAGTGGAGAACAACATGCTGACTAACAGAAAACATAATGCAGCAGGTTAAATACGTGCAAGGAGATCGTAGCGGTCGCAAGACACTCTTTACACCGTGCAGCAGTCACAGGATATAAACGTCACTCTCCCCTCCTATTGGCTCGAGCTGAATTCTCTGGATAATATCCTGCTGCGTTCTCACATCAGCTCACTCAGACTTGCTGCAGATAAAATACTCGGGGTCTGGCAAGAGAAACTCTGGATGAAGTCCGAGTGAAAGATTAGTCTGTTTGCGTTCATGTATACAGCTCCTCTGGGAAACATCAGGATATTTTCAAGAGTTTTCTGTAAGTGTGAAAGCCCTATCTGTCTGAAATCACACACAACTCACTATACAGTGAAAACACCATTTTGTAGTAGTCTTTGTCATACTGTATATCAGGGGTGGGCAACTGGCCACCCCTGGCCCCCATCAACCCTCAACGTGGCCCTCAGGTCAATTTTAACATGTCAATTGATTTGAAACATGAAGAAAAACATGACAAAATCTGCCATGAAATCATGAAAACCAGAAATATGTCCATAATAATATTTGATCACTGGTGTATGTTGAGTTAAATTTGAGACATAATTGACTGTAATCGTTTTTGGAAACTACAATTTAGCCCCCTGGCAGTGAGAATTAAATGAATGTTTCCCAAAGTTGCCCATCCCTGCTCTATATAGTCCACTCATTTGTATCCCACAATGCATTGCGAAAGTAGTGTACAACCAATGGTCACTATCCAAGCAATACATATATATCCTATCATGCATCGCGGTTCAAAGCTTTTTGCGAGTGGAGAGTGGTGTTTGACTCTCAGACGGACGAGATGAACGACCAGAAACACAGTGACACAAAAGTGAATATTTGGAGCATTCTTACTTTGATCTGTTTGAATAAAAAGTAAGGATGGTCAGCGGGGTAACGTTAGTTTGTCCTAATGTCAATGAAAGAGTTTTAGTTGGAAAATGTTTCATTATTTATTTAAAAAAATCACTAGTTAATATTTATTTACTGTTTTTACAGTTTTGTGTAAATACACTGTGTTATATTATAGCTCACTCCGTTATTTAGTGTTATTATTGGAGGTGTTAAGCAGCACATTTTAGTGCCCTACATGTAACTCCCTTTATAGTGAGCGTGTGTGATTTAGTTAAACAGTAAGTGTTATCAGAAGATAGTTCCTCAGGGAGCTTTATTCTACTTTTATTATAGGACTGTGATCATATCCTGCAATAGAATTAAAAATTGATACAGACATGGAGCATTCAAATCCATTTAACAGAAGTCTGTGTTGTAATAGTCTTTGCCTAAGTGGCAGAGGGAGAGATCTGCTTTCAGCATCTCGTGTTTGACTTCAGTAACTGAAGAAGAGACACGAGCAGAAACAAGTGAAGATGTCGAGGTTGAGAATACATCTTGAATGTTTCAGTGACATTGTAACGTATAATTAACAATAAATAAACAGCACAGAAACTACCACTGGACAAACGATCTAAAGACAGTTTATCAACTTTACCAGTTGAAAATAAATTGTCTCACTTGATATTTATTTTGCTCCCAAAAAAGGAATATGATTTAATTATTCCTATTCCCTACCCAACTGTTTGTAATGTTTTCATGTGAAGAGGTTAGCATGATCTTACCCTGCTAGCTTCACATTAGCATCATGTAGCACACAGAGCACACGACCACGCCCCTCGTTAGGACACACCCCTTGTTAGGACACACCCCTTGTTAGGACATGCCCCTGGTGTCATTAAGTGTAATGAGTTGAGTAGCGTATGGATAGCAGTTTTATTGGACTTCTCTCATTTTCAGAACACTCAATGCTTTTACAACTATGTGTTAGAGTCACTCACACACACACACACACACACACACATATTTATACAATGATGACAGAGGCTGCTATGCAAAGCGCCAAGCAGCCCATCATCAGCCTAATTTATTTTGTCATCATATTTTCTAAAAAGGGAATAAAAATAAATAAGCGTCCTCTCAGCCAAACCACAGCTGGGTCTATGAATTAATAACCAATCAGAGTCGAGTGTTGATAAAAAACCTCTGTTGCTCTCTCACAGGATTGTTTGTTTCCGCCCTCCAGGCCGTTCTGTCTATCATCTGTATTCACAGATGGGTCACACTGGCAATCCGTACTGTGCCATGCTGAAGCACGATTGCCCCCCACACTGGTCAAATGAACCTTTAGGGGTGAGGGGTGCTTAGGCACGGTACGGCTTGCCAGTGTGACCGCGCCCTCAGATAGCTAACTGCCTCCTCCTAAAAAGCACAATGCTGAACACTAACCAGACTTCTTAACACATTAAATATGAGCTCAGTGCGGTCATTAAGGTTCCTTCTCAGGCTCCTTTCATTCTGGGTCTGCCTTGTCAGACTAATGGGGAGTGGTCCCAAAATCATAAGACGTACCGTCTAACTCCTCAGGAAACGGCTCAATGCTTAATCCACACTTCCTCTCTCTCCTCGACTTTGATGCCTGTTGCATATTAGAAGCAAACACATTGTTTATGTGAGTGATTGCTCATGTCGAACATTCACTCAAATATACCCAACATCACCAACGGCTCATTTTTTATGTGTATATCTGTATTATCATTTGTGGTCTTTGAATGTTGCTTTCACACCACCCCAGGACAAAACCTGTTTTTGATGCTATCAAACAGCAATCAAATTAATATTTGGTTATGGTTTGTCTGCAGGGCGTGCATTTCAGTCAACGCACGCTGTGAACGCCAAGTTTTCATTTGTGGAATGTTTGAACTTTTAACAGGCATGTGACACACCTCAAAGATCAAATCATTTCATATTTACAGCTTTTATTTTACCTTTACTTTCACTTTAGAGGGATGTAGTATTTTATGATTCTGCAAGGTGGTTTTCACGCCGCCCTGAAATCACCATTAAAAACTATGACACGAGTAGGTTTGTAGTGAAGTCAGCATTATTTTAAAGCAGAATGTTTTCAAGTCAAAAGCCTAGTTGTGTTTTTTTGGCAACATTTGTTTTGCATTTGTATCGATGTGAAGCTTTTATGTAAAGCATTTACCTAAGAGATGAGCCACCATGCAAATCTAAACTGTGTTCCCTCTCTGTCTTCCCCACTTCTCGTCTCTATCTCAGGCTTTCATCAACACAGCCAAGGAGATCTACGAGAAGATCCAGGAGGGAGTGTTTGATATCAACAATGAGGTTAGAGACACACTGCTCCCCCTCTTCCTGTCCTCTCTTTCTTTAAGCCATCTTCTCCTCTCCTCCACTGTTTTTTTTTCTTCTCTTTCCCCACTCCTCTTTCTCCAAAGTGTGGTTTTCTAGCTGTGTGTGTGGCATGCTACGCTCCCTATCTCCTCAAAAAGAGGAAAAAAAAAACACCTTCTTCCTTTGACTCCAGCCAAGCAAAACTCCCTGTGTTCCTCCTCCCCCTGCTCTATTTTCCACTCACTCTTTCCTCCCCAGTGCGCTCTCTCTCTCTCTCTCTCTCTCTCTCTCACTCTATCTCTCTCACTCTATCTCTCTCTCAATCTTGCTCTCTTGGCACCTTGCCAGCTCATAAATTCCTCACATCCCACAAGGTCTCAGTCATTCAACAAGAAAACAAACACTCAGCCAGCCAGTCGGTAAGTTTGCTATCCAGTCAACCAGATAGTTATCTTCTCAGTGGAACAGTTATCCAGGCAGCAAAGTCGGCACACCATGCCTGTCAACAAGTGTGCACTTGTCAGCAGGTTTTAGTCTCTCGACTTCAGAAATAAAATGTCATAGCGGTAGCTGAAAGAGCATTTGGAGAAAAGCCTCCACAAACAGAGATTAGCAACCCAATTTTATTTATGGGTTTTTATCTCTGACTGCATCTTATCTACTCTTGTGTATATGCATATGTCAGTGAAGTACCCTCACACTAGTAAGCCAGCTCAATAATCTTGATATCAAATCTCTAACTGGCTAAACTTTCTTCAACCACAGAATTTTGAATTACTAAATAACTCAGAGAGCAAGCAGGTATATCGATGTCTGAATTCAGCCTGACTGATGTTCTCTGTAGATTGGATGCACTCTGAAGATTACAGATGGTTAACTTAAAATAACTGTTTCAATAATGCAATGTTGGTTTTGCACCCTCCATTAATATTGGAACCTCAAAAAAGTTTACTTTAACCATCCTTAAACAGATTTTTGTCAAAACCAAACAGGAAGTGCAGCATAATTTATTATTTTTATTTCAAAATAACAGGTTTTACATGCTTCCTATTTGAACGTACTTCTCCGAGGCAAATTTTGAAATTTTTTGTAGCCCAAATTTTTTTTAATGAAAATTTTGACATTTTTTGAAGTCGCTTTAATCTGATGGAAATAATACTGCAATATGTTCCAATTGTAGTATATAAACAGTTTTTCACTGTATCTGGCCTTTAGGCAAAGTCAGCAACAACAAATGCCAGTCATTCATTTCCTCAGTAGGCCAGCCAGTAAGTGTTTTTATTATTGGTAACAGTAAGACGGCGTGAAGGCTGGCCTGCTGGCCAAACCACATCAGCTGACTGGCTGAGAGAGGGAGAGAGGGAAGCCCTGCTAGAAATGTTGGCAGCCACTTTGAGAAAACACTGACACACACACATACTCACACACAGCCTTAGCTCAATAAATGTGATTTAAAGGCATACAGTGTTTCCCAGCGGCACTCCTGCTACTGAGTGTAGGAGGGGGAGTTACACGAAGGCAGAGAGAGATAAATATATACAGAAGGAGAGAGTGAGGCTGAGTGTGTGCTGCAGCCACACAGATGATGAAACACAGAGCGAGCAGCACAGTACACACTCACAGAGAGAGAACGCTCCAGTTGTAAGGATGAGAGCAGGAGAAAGAGAGATAAAATAGCTGTCCCTCTACCACCCACCTGCCTCCCTTTCCCTCTCTTTCTCTTCTTTTATATGCGCTTGTCTTCTTTTTGTCCTTGTGTCCTTGAGTGCCGCTGGGGTTTCCTGTGCCTTTGTGCAGCGCAGCAGCACCTGTTGCTGTCTCTGTGATGTGATCTAATAGGAGCCCCTGCAGGCGCCGCTCAATGAAAATCTCATCATGAAAGCAATGACACAGTCATTCTTTTATTTTGTATTTCTCACTTAATTCATGAATTACTTCTGTTTGGCTTAGGCTCTAACTTTGAGTTAAACATTGAGTCCTGTCCCTGTCCCGCACCTTTAGGCGGTAAAACTAAACAAACATGAGACGTGTGCTTCCCCATAATGGTTCTCTATTTATGTTTACACTTCAAGTAGGGCTGCAGTAACCAATTTTGTGGTTGAGTTGGAAATCAGGGAGAAAGAGAGTAGGGAGTGACATGTGGGAAAGGAGCTACAGGTTGGATTTGAACCTGGGCCGCCCGCTTGGAGGACTACAGACTCCATACATGGGGAGCGCGCTCTAACCACTGTGCCACCAGCGCCCCAGTAACCCATTCCTTAGTCATTGAGTAATCTAGTGGTTATTCTGGTAATGAATGGAGTAACCAGATAAGAAATATAGCATGGTCAGCCTTTTTATTTTTAATAACTTGATTTATTCAAGAGCAATAGTATTATACAAAAGACTAAATAAGGCGGGTCTCTTTTCCTTTTTGAAGTCAACCTGTTTTTTTTTAACATTTTTTGTGTTAATTTAGTTTTTTAATGATGCTTTTCTCAACTTTTGCTGTTTGCTGTATTTTTGCCTTTCCTGCTGTAACAATACACTTGTAGAGTTTTATCTTATCTGGTCTTATTGCCAATAAAAGTATCATACTTTAAGTTAATTATACTGGCTAATGTAAATAGTTTACTATGTCGAAGGGATGCCCTTCTACTTACCATTCTCACTGCGATCAAATGAAATTAGCACAAGCAGGGAACACATTTTACTTCACTTCAACTTTGTAAATTATTACATTTGTTAACGAGGGGAAAATAAAAGATGAGGTTTTGTGTATGCACACAAACTTCTGAAGTCAGGGCTCGGTCACCCAAGTCAAAAAAGAGAGAAGGACAGGGACTCTGATCAGGTAAAAGTAATAATAATCTCAGAGTTATGATAATAGATCAGTGGGGGAATAAAAGCTGTCTGTCTCGTTCATTAACTGAGAATACTGAGAACATGGTATAAGAAAAGTAAACTTCTTCAGGTTTAAAGCTCAGCCAAAATTCATTTCTGAGAAATAAAAAGCAGATGTGTCAGTCAGTGGGTTTAAACAAAGCCTCAGCATTTTAGAAATGGAGGTACTCGATTGATTCGGCCCTAAATATCAGTTTATCTGTGAACACATTCACCTTCTAACCGGACCGTTGAGTCAAAAATTTCCGGACTACAGATTTCTGAAAACTGATACTGGGTATTCTGGCAAAGACTTCCGTTTCTGTGTGCTGATCATTGGTTACAGCAAGCAACTTCCATCAATCCATTATCTATACTGCTTCTATCGAGAGTGGGGGAGCCAATCCCAGCTGTCTTTGGGCGAGAGGTGGGCTACACCCTGGACTGGAGTAGCAAGACCCAAAAACATTGAAGGATTTAACAGATGACCTCTATGCAAATAACTGTTTGTTGGGATTAATAAAAAGCTTAATCCTTCTCAGACAATAAGGGACAGGTCTTGGGATTTGGGCCAGTGAACTCTGACAGTTTATCTTCTTACATGGACTGTTTTTATGTATGTACCCAAAACCTGTTTAAACATTACTTGTCTCTACAACTAAAATTAAAACCAGAATTCTTCCAAAAAGGCTGCATTTTGTCAGATTCTGATTATTCAACAGTTCCTTTACTTCTTCCTTTGGGACGTTTTAGTCAGTACGTGGTACCAGTCCATCTACATAGCCAAAAGGCTAGCTAGGCTGCTAACGGACAGTAACATCGCTAATGGCCTTGTTGCTTGGTTGTGAAGTATAACAACAGTTTTTTTTAATACAAATAATTCAATGATTTTAACAACTGGCTCTTTTTTTTTTTGGAGAAGTTTCTGGATGAAGCGGGTGGATTAGAGATGTTAGACACCTAGCTGCAGTAGACCATGTTTGTCCCCTACCCTAGTTATACCATCCTCATTAGTCCATTTTCATTGTCGTCCTCTGAGGAACATTGTAGCAGACACTTGTTGTTTGTGATTTCAGAACCTCATTTCATGGTTTATATTTTTGTCTCCACACAGGCTAATGGTATTAAGATTGGACCCCAGCATCCTACCACCAATTCTACACTGACTGGTAGCCAGGGAGGCCAACAGGCTGGAGGGGGCTGCTGCTGAAGCCTCACAACACACCGCTTCTCTGACCCTTCCTCCTCCTCATCCTGGCCCTCTCCAAACCTCCTTTGCGTTTCTACAGAGCTGTCGAGACTCACTAACAGTTTGTTAACCTCTCTCTCTCTCTCTCTCTCTCTCTCTCTCTCTCTCTCTCTCTCTCTCTCTCTCTCTCTCTCTCTCTCTCTCTCTCTCTCTCTCTCTCTCTCTCTTCTGGCACATTCTTTCATTCTTCCCTCCCTCTCTGTGTCTTCGCTCTCAAGTCCTTCAGCCATGTCTTTCCTGAATCCTCTGATCATACCCTAGGCTCAAGGGGGCTGCGTCCCCCACAAGTCAACCTGACTTCCTTCAGTCTCAAAAGGACAGAGTCAGCTTCATCGGCAGATGTAGACAAGAAATTCAGAAGTTTTTCTTGAGGGGGGGTGGGGGGTTTGGTAAACATATTTTAATCTTTTTATTTAAAAAAACAAACACTCATACTGGAATGTGAAGACTTATGTTCCAACAGTTTCATTTCCACATGTTTTTGGGGATATTACAGTACCGTAAGAAAAAAATCGATGAGATGAAGTTGTCCTGACGGAGACGGGATCGTGGGTAGAGATTAAAAACACACTCTAAACGACTGACTGTATGGAATAAATCATGCGCTGTGTTGTGTCTGTACACAAATCCGTACAAGTTTTCAGAGAAAATGACGCAGCACATTGATAGCAGGACATGTTGCTGCATGTTGAGTCAGTTTTCATGCTGTGCCTGTGTGTGTATAGGGGATTATATAGGTATTCCAGTATGTCACTCTGTAAGGTGTAGGACGCATTCAAGTGGCTCTGTATTTTCTCTCCATAAAAAACAAAGTGCAAATTATGTTATTTTTTTGTGCTTCCTTTCCCTGTGTTGTCATTCTATTTTGTCTTTGTGTCCTTATGTTGACTTTCAAGATGATTTGTATTTAATTAACACTACAAACTGGTCGTGGCTTAAAAAGTGTTTTAAATTGTCTGGGGGGGAGAATAAAAGACCAAACTGTTGAGTGTACACATTTATCCTTTTTACTGGAACGAGGGACAAAATGAAACAAAGTCAAAGAAGCGTCAAGGGAACGCCAAGAGCAGTGGCTGCCGTTATGAAGAAGTAATACGAGAAGGAATCCAAACGTTTTGTCGACTATATTTATCAGGCACATTTATCTGTGTATATATGGCTCGTTATGTTGCTGTAGCTTTTTAGACTGCTCCAGATAAAAGCTTACCATGGTGTCCTCTAGTCGTGCCTCTGACAGGGACTGGGAAAATAAGAGTTTCAGGCCTTCAAGCAGCTTTCAGCATTCATACAGTTCTCATTTAAACCCGAAGGTACTTAACCACCTCGTTACATTACGGGTGGTTTTGCCCTTTCTATTAAATGACAGCTATGAATGATAAGAGGCTGGTAACGGGGGCCGTAGAGGCATTGAAAGTCCCCGCTGGAGAGCAGACTGGAAATGTCGAGGCATCTCCCTTTTTTAAGCAAGCTAAGATATCCACCATGAATTAATCCGCAGATCTTTAATGTGTACTGTTTAGAGCTTGATCAATGATTGCTGCAGTTTTTTTTTTTGCTTTGAGATCCCCAAGTGTAATGGGCACCATTTTACTGTCATCATTTTAGTTACTTAATGTTCATTTTTCCTCCTCATTCCTCCTCCTCTTCTCTTTCTCGCTCCCCCTCTTCCAGACTGTGATAACATCAGCTCTGTATGTATTGTTATTGCCAAATTATTGTTTACTTGTGTTTTTGGCAAAAGAAAATAAAGTGAGGAAAAAAGAATCAACCAAGCCCCCCCTATAACATGTCCTGCAATCAGCTGTCTGCCTTAACTCCACCCCCTATGAGAGATTTGGACAGCTGTTAGAATTCAATGAAAACTCGCCCGTTATCTGAACAATCTGATTTGATCGTTCTCGAGCTCGTTAATGACGCATTACACACACATAGACACACACCTGGAGGGATGTCACAGAAACACCGGTCATCTAAATTTGTTTAAACTGAACTATTTCATGAATTGGGTCATGTGAAATGAATCCAAGCCCACCCGTAAACACACACACCCGGCGTGCATATGTTCACGATGCGTACATATACTGCAGATTTCCTCTGCAGGTTTTTTTTATTATTGTTATTGTTCCTAGATACATTCAGGCAGTTACTAATCTCGTTCTGATTAAGATTCTTTGTAAAGCAAAATGTAGTGTGTGTGTGTGAGTATGGTTGTATGCATGTGTGTGTGTGGTTGTGTGTGTGGTTGTATGTGTGGTTGTATGTGTGGGTGTGGTTATGGGTGCAGACCCAGACGGGGGAGGATCAAGCCAAACCTGATGCATCTATCTATCTATGGATCTATCTATCTATATGTGGCCCTCTTCTCTTGCTTTTCCTGCCTCCCACCCTCCCCCCTCCTCCCCCCTCAATGTAATTTGCTGTGTTTGTTCTTTGGAAGAAATAAAACATTTAAAAAAAATAAAAAATAAAAATGCTATCACAATAAACTATAATAAAACATTTTAAACTCTAAACATGTCATGTTGATGGTTCTGTGGAGATGAAAGAATACAGAATATTTATGTTTTTTGTATTTTCTGTCTTGTCTTTCTGCTCGTCCTGACTTCCCTGTGTAGCGATGAATCAATCATAATGGAGCCCACATGCTCTTTTTACTCGATCTGATTTATCTATTAAAATGAGCAGGGAGGGACTTGGGCCCTCGCTGTGCCGTTTGACCTTCAGCAGTCATGGAGATTGTATTCCCTGATGAAGGTCACAGAGACTGAGAGTCTGCTTAATGAATGAAACATTTCTTTTACTCATAAGTAGTCAGGGAAGGTTAGCATGTTCACTTTGTGTGTGCATGAGGTTTTAGCAATGGCCTACATGACAATCCTTCATTTGCATGAATACACCACAGTTTTGAGACATCGACATGTGCACAGTGTTGGCGAGAGGACGGCTGTGAGCTCAACAACATGAGAGCATGAACTTCACCCTTCCTCATTCTGCACCCTTTATAAAAGATTTACGAGTTAATAAACAAACTATTCACAGAGATTAACCGATGCCATGCCAGCAGCTCTGTGATGCTGTACGTGGGTAACGCTTTGCTCTGATTTACATTCTCACATTAGCATGATATCATGCTTGTAATGACCTCACTGATATTTAAAGGGTTTGGGACCCTGATCACAGATTAGCATTGCAGCTTAATGATGCACAAATTAGATCTAAATAAACAGCTGGGGCTGATGGGCATGTCACTAGTTGTGCATGTTATCTATAATTAATCAAAGAATTAGGTCGGACAAATAACATTTTCACCAAATATTTCAATGAATAGTTTGATGGAATAAAACCAGTAGTCTTTAGATTTGTCATCTAAATGCCACCAGATAGAAAGTAATAACTGATCACTTCACCATGACATTGTGTTAGGTGGGGTTTGTTTCTATAGACAAACAATGATGACTGTGGATCATCTTAGATTTATTCAGCCGTGGTCAGACAACACAGGCACACAACACACATGGCTGACAAAGTGCAGACCATCGCTGACCCACGCTGACCAAGCTCTCACAATCATTGACAATCATTGGCAAAGTCTTCATCTTCACAGTGTTGATTATATTCTACTAGAAGGTACAGACCACAAATTCCTGGTTTCATCTCTAAAAGGCTAGAAAGAAGACATCACACTGACTCTTAAATATCAGACATATACATTTCTTCACTCTCAGAGTCACATTTCCTTTTTCAGCTCACAACAGACACTTCAATCCAAATATAACTTTGCTGCTATGAGGTCTCTTACACATATGTATTACAGCTTCACAAACCTAAAAGAAGAATTACTCTGAGATGGTTTACACAATTCAAAGATATATCCACAAAAGGATCAAGATGAATGAATTCATGAAAATACGTATTAACACATTGGCATAACTAGAAGTAATTGAAACACACTCTCTCTAACAGACTGGATTCTGCTTACTGTAGACCTCAAAACAGATCTGGTGAAAAAAAAGGGAAATCAGTCTCATGGTTACAGGTTGCGTGTTCAATCACATAGCAGCACCTTACAGATGAACTGATGAATGACAACGACAAACCAACAGAACATCTGAGTCATCACATTGAATTGTTTCTGAGGTCTGCAGTAACATATATGTGCTTCAACATAAGGTTTGTGTTTGAAGATGCACAGAAGGAGTAACTTTGACCACCAATGCCTTGAGTCAGGTCAGGACAGGAAGTATATCATGGCGTTCCCATATCATACCAACAGTATAAGTATGTTTTGCCCGTCCTATGGACAGTTTGGCTGTCAGTCTAACTTTGGGAAATCACTTTATAAAAATGTTCCTTAGATTTACATTTGACTCTGTTTTTATCCTAAGATTGGTCATAACTAATCCCAGACTGAAGGTTGGTTTCTGCAACCCTAAAGTTTATTCAAAATCAGAAGGACCCACTCTGCAGTTGGACCAGGCTCAGGCTCACTACTGGTCTAGAAGATACTGGTTGTTATATTATTCAGAGACCCAACATTAATCGACCATGAAAAAAACACTTGGTGACATTTGGCCACAGTGGTGAGGGAAAACCACTGATCTAGACCTTCCCTTTTTGTGTCAGGAGATAACTTTTGTTATAAATTGGCGCCGTTCAAATAAGAACTTGTTGCTTGTTTAATTGAAAGCTTTATAACTGTAAAGTTTAATTTATAACAACCATCATTTCTTTGTATATAAACTCATCTCATATTTACGGTCACATTGATGTAGAAAGGGAGAGCATTATTTTCTTCTAAAATGTAATTTAGTGCATTTCACAGGTAGCACTTTGGTAATCGGTCTTACCTTCTTTCCTTGATTGGCTACCAAAAGTTAAAAAACAATCTCTGCATTCAACAACACAGGCCATAGTTTGAGTGTTTTAGAATCATTCTCAGCTCATTCGTTCAGAGATAGTTTCCTGGAACAACTCACCTAAGCTGTTTGGGGTCCATGTTGGTTTACCGACATATAGACGGGAGAGGGTTATTAAAAATGAATGTGACTAATTACAGAAACAGGAGACTCAACAGCTAACTAAATCTAAACTAAAAATCAAAATTCAGCTGAACTTTTATCATCGGCACTAAATGACAGTTCTTGGAGAAAAACATTGTACATCTTGAAATCCATTGTTTGACTGTTAGCAACCAAATATATCACATGGTAACCTATATACTAGTGATGGAAAGAAGTTTTTTTTACTATCAGTAGCTCTATAGATAGATAAAGCTCTGGTTATGTCACATTGGGTCTCTCAATTCTTAATCAAATTGTGATAACATGACTTTGGCTCTGAAAAATAAGAAGGTCCATGGTGATGGATTTCCTGAGTCAAGTAAGTTTCAAGTGTCAGTTTCAAACATTTCTGAAATGCATTTAAACCAGGGGCTGTATAAAGGAAGTGGGAGATGTCAAAAACACTCACAATCACCCACTTGTGAAATCTGTATCATGTACCTTATATGGTCGACAAAATGCAGAATCCCTTTGGTTTGGTCTTTGACTTAGAGAATCAACAATGTGTCATCTAAAGTCTCTCTTTTTATCTGTAGCACCTAAAACACGTTTTTGTATCTAATATTTGGAAATAAATTCAGTGTGTTGTTTTTTAGCGGAGAGGAGGAAGTCACAAAGAAGATAAAGTACATGTTCTAAGGCCTCTGTACTGAGGGACAGACTGTTGTGATAAGCAAATTACTGTTCATGTCAGGGACATCCGCGTCACTGCCAGTCCCTTGTGTGCACTTTTCTTTGTCGTTTAAGTACAGCCGAGCTGATAAAAGCAACAAAAAAGAAAGTCACATGAAAATCTAATTGAGAGGAAAAGTGTATATCCTCTGTACTTTCTAAGGTTTATGACCATATCCTTCTTTATGGTGTTGTTTTGATCTCTAAAGGAGGGAGGTGCCCTCATGTGAATTACAGTTTTAAAATACACAGGTTGTGATA